CACATCAGGAGAGCAAATGATTGAGACTTCGTCGTGTTGGATAAGGAGGTCCTTGAAGTTCCAGTACGCGCATCCGCGTTCGGCTCGCACACATCCCCACTATGGTCTGGCCTTGCTAAAGTTCGCTCCGTTGCTACGCAGCACATTCGATGGATTAACCATCATGATCAATTTTGCCTTACAGGCAGCAGCCGTCCATGACCTGGAAATTCCAACAGTCAGAATTTAATTTGGTCTAAAAAACCTTCTGAGTTGTTGGTGAAAGTACGACAGAAGTTTCCTTGAAACTACTGAAAGCAGCGTGTAACCGTTTTGTTAACAGTTCGTCCACCACAGATTCGCCGACAATCAATGACGAGAGACTAAGACTCTGAGGCTATTTGGTAGTGACTATCGATCTCAAGTCTCTATACAAGTCCGTGGAAAAAATAGAGAACCTCCGGATGGATAGATCTTCCGCTTTTACCGTGTTGAGCTAATCCCGCTCAGACTTGCTACCACATACTTCACGCACTCTTTTCTCTTTTCTGATTTGCTTTTTCCTTTGAGAACAAGAAACCATTAATGCTGGCATCAAAGTCCTCAGATCAAAATGTCCTTCGGTCGGAAATTCCAGACTTCCAGAAGAAAGGCATCGAGCAGTTTCCCATGAATTTGCTATATGTTGTAGACATTGGTGGTATGTGCTACGCTGGGTGAAAAACTAAAAGAAAGAAGTATGATTCCAAAAAACAGTCAGGATGGGATGCACGGGCAACCTTATTATTCCACTGAGTGAATCGACGCCTGACTTTGCCGCTCGCCCGAAGTCACTTTCTGAGGAATTTGTAAGATTCTGGTTTATATGTACAATTACTTCCGAGGCAAGGGTAGCCGAGTGGTTAAGAGTGTAAGATCTCATCACATCTCATTGGAGCCACGAGTTCAATCCCTGCCGAGGCACAAACCTGCCTTGCAAAAATTGCAAAAATGGGGACGATACCAGCGTCAGGCCCAGGTTGACAGGCCGGCTGATGGAGGAACCCGTCACAACAACCATGACAAGTCGCAATAGAATCAGTGTAAAAGCTAGGACGTCACCCGGAAGTGGCGCGCAGAACCCTCGCCCGAGTTCTGTGGTCAGTATGCGAGGGCTACCGAGGGGTGAACGACCTCGGCCAAAGAAGCTAGTTCGAATTGGGACCCTGAACGTGGGGTCGCTTACCGGGAAGTCTCGTGAGGTTGCCGACCTCATGAGACGCAGGAATATCCAAGTCCTATGCCTGCAGGAAACGCGATGGAAGGGTGCGAAGGCCCGCGAGATTGGAGAAGGCGTCAAACTCTTCTACAATGGAGCAGACACCAAACGGAATGGCGTTGCCATAGCGGTGGCAGAATCCCTCAAGGACTGCGTCTCCACTGTGAACAGGATCAGTGACCGGATCATGGGAGTGAGAATGGACACGAAGGAGGGGTACTGGACAGTACTGACCGTGTACGCACCACAATCCGGTTGCTCTGAAGCCGAAAAGGATGAGTTCTACCTGACCCTGGACGAGGCCATAAGATCGGTTCCGGAAGAGGACTATCTCACCATAGCTGGAGATCTGAATGGCCATGTTGGGAGGGACAGAAGGGGTCTAGAAAGGGTGCACGGAGGTCAAGGAATAGGGACAAAGAACGCTGAGGGAGGACGATCCTTGACCTAGCCACAGCCCACGACTTAGCAATCTGCAGCACCTTCTTCGCGAAAAGGAGGACCCAAAAGGTAACCTACAGCAGTGGAGGGAGACAAACGGAAATCGACCATGTCCTGGTCAGAAGATCGTCTCTCAAAACCGTCAAGGATATCAAGGTACTGCCTGGGGAAGAGCTGGGCCCTCAGCACAGGCCTCTCCTGGCAGACATCGCCATAGACCTCCCCAAGAAGACAAGGGTGAGAGCAGAGCGAAGAATTCGGTGGTGGAAAATGGGCAGGTAGAAAAGGATAGCCTCGGCCGAAGAATACTGGAGGCTGGGCTCCCAGACCCACATGGGCCAGTCCAGGACACCTGGACCTACGCAGCAGAGGTCATCCTACAGTGTGCAAGGGAGGTCCTGGGAGAGACGCGAGGTGGTATCAGAGGAGACAAGGCAGCCTGGTTCTGGAACGAGGAAGTCCAGAGGATCGTCAAGCAGAAGAAGGAAGCATACAAACGCTGGCAAAAGACACGGAGCCCAGAAGACTACGCTGCCTACAAGAGCTGCAAGCGACTCGCTAAGGCGGCCGTTGCTAAGGCCAAGAATACGGAAATGGACGCCCTGTACGACAAGCTGGAAGGCCGAGAAGGGGACAAGTTCGTCTTCCGCCTGGCTAAAGCTCGGCATCGCGCAGCTCAGGACATCAGGGTCGTAAAGACTGTGAAGAGCAGCAACGGGGCCATTCTCAGGAAACCAGCCGAAGTCAGGAAGAGGTGGGAAGAATACTTCGAGGGACTTCTGAACGAAGAATTCCCTCGCAAGGATAGCCCACAGATAGAGGCGACGGCAGGTCCCATCACTCCCTGGACGAAGGATGAAGTTCGCCGGGAGCTAGGGAGAATGAAAGCTGGGAAAGCAGTGGGTCCAGACGGGTACCGATAGAGGCATGGAAGGCCCTTGGAGAGCATGGGGTGAGTTGGCTCACGCACTTCCTAAACAACGTAACAGCTGAAGGAAGGATGCCGAATGCGTGGAGGAGCAGCACAATCGTTCCCATCTTCAAAAGAAAGGGGACGCGACGGAGTGCTCCAACTACCGCGGCATCAAGTTGACTCCCCATACCATGAAGCTGTACGAGCGCCTGGTCAACACTAGGCTGAGGGAACTTGTCCCTATCTCGCAGGAACAGTTCGGCTTCATGCCCGAGAGGTCCACCACCGATGCCATCTTCATCGCCAGACAGCTGATGGAGAAGTACCGAGAGAAGCGGCGACCCTGCTACCTAGCCTTCCTGGACCTTGAGAAGGCATTCGACCGCCTGCCAAGGCCTGTACTCTGGAGAGCGCTCAGAGAACGTAACGTTCCGGAACACCTCATCTCCATAGTGAAGGACATGTACGATGGGGCTAAAGCAGCTGTACGCACCCCTCACGGCTTGACAAAGGAGGTAAACATTACGGTTGGGGTACACCAAGGGTCAGCCCTCAGCCCGTTCCTCTTCCTCCTGACTCTAGATGTCATGGCAAAAGAACTCATGGAGGGACCACTGAAAACCATCCTCTATGCTGACGACATCGCCCTGATAGCGGACAGCAGGGAGGAACTTCAGGACAAGGTGCAGCGGTGGCAGGATGTGCTCGCTGCGAATGGACTCCGGCTGAACGTAAAGAAGACCAAGTTCCTAAGCTCCGAAGAGTGCGCCGAAGTCATCGTAGATCGCCATGGCGAGAACATCGAAAGGGTCGAGGATTTCCAGTACCTGGGGAGCAACCTAGCAGCTGATGGCAGCGTGGACCAGGCGGTGAGGCCCGAATCAACGCAGCCTGGATGAAATGGAGGGAGTCCACTGGCATCCTGTGCGACCGGCGGTGCTCGAGAACGCTCAAGGGCAAGGTGTACCGGGCTGTGGTAAGGCCTACAATGCTCTACGGCAGTGAGTGCTGGCCTATCTGCAAGAACCATGAAAGGCAGCTCCACTCAGCTGAAATGAGGATGCTGAGATGGGCCTGCGGCTGGACACGACTCGACAGAGTCAGAAACGAGGACGTCAGAGCGGTCACACAGACGGCTCCTATCCAGCTGAAGGCACGAGAGCAGCGACTGCGATGGTACGGTCATGTACTGAGGAGGCCCGAAGACCACCCAATAAGGAAGGCATTGGAACTCGAGGTAGAGGGCAAGCGACCACGAGGAGCCCCAAAGAAAAGATGGAGGGACGTCATCAAGAGGGACCTCACTGAAGTGAAAGCCACAGCAGAAGATGCAGTGGATCGGAACAAGTGGCGACGTCTAACAAGATCAGCGGACCCTGCGACGGCGCGGGACTAACGCTAGGGAGAAGAAGAAGAAGAAGAGTAGAAGATTATTGGTTGGTTGTGAGAGGGGTGGTGCCGGATGAGGGGGGGGGGGGAGCTCGGAAAGGGGTCAATAGAAACCTCTCTCTCTAGCGGCATTACGGCCTGTAAGGGGCATTAGGTTGGGGATGATTGGAGGACAGTTCCAGGGGAGTGTTGCTTTCGTGTAGTTTTATGGAGGGCTTGTTCAAGGCAGACGTAGCTAGATTCTGACTAGGTTACTTTTTCACCTAATACGTTTTTCCATCATTTTCTGACAGAACGAAGAACGAAGAGACCACGTTCCGTGGTTTGTGGAACACTTTTCATGAATTAGAAGAACCCTTTTTTTGAACTGGTTGGAGGATTTGATTTGAAGCCGAACTCTTCCGCACTCAGGCTTAAGCAGGAATTCCGGCTCTACCAAAGTTTACAAAACATGGTCACCACTGCATCGTTCATCCAAAGGTCAGGACTAGCTGCAAAAGAAGGCTTTATATGGGTTACAAATTAAAATGAACTGCGGGCATCTATACACGGTACCGCAAAAATTATTTATCCGGCAGTAAAGTTATATTGTTGTGATTATACTGCAAATTTCATGGAGTAACAACACTATAGTGAGACGAATACATTTGACTACGAGCTTATGAACATAACAATAAATTAGTGCACATCTTAACAATGTTTTGAAGAGTAGTAAGGTTCCTTTGCTATCGATTTTCATGTTAACTGACAGGCGTTCGAAAGATAAGGTTTGTGATTACCGAGTGGGCGGAGTCATGGAGAGACGTCATCTGCGCGCCCTCTCCCCGCTTTCTTCACCATGAAGCTGCAAACATGAGAGGCGCTCCAGTGACGTTGTTTTCTGCCCCCGCCTACTCGGTAACCCCGGACGGTGTTTCAGTTTAGACATCACAAGTTGGGATCAAACCCATGGGGCTGCTATTTTACACGAGGAGCTAAGAAATAGGTAGCTCTCCTCAGAACAAAAACGTTAAGAGATTGTTAGGAGAGCGTTTGGAATAAAGGTATGAGTAATAATGGCAGAGAAGAGATTAGCGATGACGAGGACGTTGTTACGGCTTTCTTCCTTCGCGTTTCGGCATAAATTGATTCCAGCTCGCCATCCGTCGCTTTGTTGCAATGAGGAGTATGGCAGCAACAAAATGAGAACTAAATACGATACATTTAGGATTTTCAAGGATGGATGTTAAGCGTATGTTACCGAAATCCCTTGGGTGCGCATTTGACTTTCAGAATTCAGGTTGTATACAATAGGGTACGGTAATCAATGAGCCGCTCCCGTTTTCTATAGACCCTGTCAAGGATAATGAGTAAAGTCCTCAATGTTGATATATTTCTTTTTAGGATGTGGTACACATCCTAGGTCCATTCGGAACCGTAGGGGCTTATGATTGCGATGTGGCGATACAATGGCTTGTGGGAGCCAGTTGATGTGCAGCATTCAGGGGTAATGGTCTGGATGCAGCCCGGGGTTCAACCTTCCCGCTGGTCGCACAGTAAGCGTGTTTTTTGCCGACACAACACCTACGCCAAAATCCTGTTAGACCTTGTGATCCTCACAGTTTATTGTACTACTGATATGACAAGAAGTGCTGAAAAACAGGAGCTAATCGGGTTTGTTTGAAGTTGTGCGATCCCTGTATTCATTTCCCCAAAAGTTCTTGTTTACACTTCAAAATTTAAAACTTGAACTTGAAGAAACTGATTCAAATGC